TCCGACCGTCTCCCTCAGCATTAAAGCCAGGTTAGATCAGGAGTTACAACACAAATGATAAGAAGAGCCATTTTGCCTTTCAACAAAGTCAAACCACCTTGGGAGCCGCAACATTTAATGTCCAGTATGTGTCAGTATGTGATAATGTCCTAGTACGGGCTAAAAATATAAACGACAGCGCAGATCTACCTTGCTTTGCTTTAAGCTTTCCTCCCATCTCCGCCAGAAAACTTTTCTTCACAACTAGAACAGTTTCTTGTAAAATGTCTCAGCATCCGGCTGTTTTATGAGGCTGAAGTTGCTTCTCATACGCTTCTCGTTCTAATTTTCCTGTTCCACCTTAAATTCTGACTGAGGCGCCGAATGTAACTGCTGCACCATTTAAGGTGGAACGGGAAAATTCAAAAAAAGAAGCAAGTTCATTTTCGCAACTTTTTAGAGAAAGACAGTCTCTCATTGCAGATTTAACCAACCGTGCTGCTTATAAATGCGAACAAGTCCTCCAAATGTTCATCTTAATCTCTGTTTTATTCGTTCGCTACTGGTGAGGCCAGACTTCGGTGCCATGTGACCTGCTGTCTGCTGTCTGTTCTCAGTTATTGAGAACCAGGGCTCTCGCGCTATGCTGCACACTTTGGAGCCGAGATTCAGCATCCACTCTCGAAAATACCCCCCTACCCCTAACGTACACCATATGCTTGTTGTCCCCACAAAATATGGTCAAACAGTGATTGATATCCTTTTATTCAAAATTCCAAATTATGGAAGCCAAAATTTAATTGGATTTGCCCTGGCGAGGTAACACCCCTCTCTATATATCATGCTACAGGTGTGTTCACTGTAAGCTAAGCTAAGCTAAATGCATTTATATGCATTTATTCGTGGCCAGACACCATGAGTGTAAACAGACACCATGAGCGTTACTGAGCATTGTGAGTTATCCTATTTTTTGGTCAACCTGTGCTCAATAATGTAAGTGAATCTGCAGGGTTCAAACAAAGACTGACACTGTTTATGATTATGTTTATTGGGATATGCTGTTATATTATAACCATGACAAATGCTATATGCAGTACTGAAAGTTTTATTCAGTCAGAGAAATTTGTCATTCATCAGTCAGCTGTGATTACACAAGCATGCTTTGTTTCTTTTTTGTATCAATAAATTTTACCACATCACTTTGGTGGTGTGGTGCCACTGCTGTCTTTGCCTTTTATTCCACTCTCCTAGCTCCCACTGGCTATTGTCTGAATCGCTTGTTCAACTACATTGCTGTCCATATCACACTAAAAACTTTAAACTTTCTATAAAAATCAGACATGTTTGAATATATAGGGAGGAATCTGATTAGAACAAAAGTTGAGAGCTAAAGATTGACTTGTTGATGACTGACTTCAGCAGATCATCTGCACCGTTAATTGCTTCGATCAAGCTCTCGACATTGTAATTTGCTTCTGATTGTGAAAATTAGCGTTTTATTTTGCATAACCTTTATCCCAGTAAAAATTGAAAAATAATAATAAAAACTGTCAAAGGTGTAGGCTTTTACCAAAGAAAGCTTAATGCTATAGCAATGCTATTTGTTTGTTTATTAATGATTATGACTGAAATTGCCTGGCAAATACTACAGCCATTCAAAACATGATGTTAGACTACACTAATCCATTACAAGCTAAAGACAATATTAATTATTAATGAAACACCCTCTGAGTTGAGGTTGTGCCCATGTGTGAACCCCTAGAATGCAAAGTGTAAAGTGCACATGCCACAAATAATTATCATGGGCACAGATGCAACAAGTTCTCAAAATGAAAAATGTAAGAGAACAGAGAGAAAGAAAGAAGAAAAGGGTAGCAACTGAAGGGTAGTAGGGTTGTGCAGCCATGTAGTGCTCTGGGAAGCTGTATGGCTCGCGTGCCTTGCGCGTGGGGGTTGACTAAAGGAATGGGGGCCCTGTAAGAAAACGCCTGCAGCTCGGAAAATTCTGTAAACACCACACTTCAGTTCTCAACTAGCAAGAGGCCAGGAGGACATCTGTTGTCCAAAACTACGTCTGTTTGCATGTAACAAGGTATAGGAAGGGAAAGACTGCACACTGATTTACTTTACAACACGGCAACATGACACAGCTCTGACAGCAGACCTTTGTGTGAAGAGATGGCACCAGACGTGAAATGCATGCTTCTGTTCAGGCGAGAGGAATCCCAGCTATTCACGTGCGTCTCACATGCAAAGGAGGGGAAATGTGCTTGACTTCGTTGATATTTATGGGTATTGGTGGACATTGCATGTGTGCCAGATGTTTCAAATGACTTCCAAAGTTTGTTCCCTGCTGCCTGACTGGGGTGCTACACAGTGCTGGGTCTCGTGTTACAGGCCTGCTGGGTCACATCCATTGGACAATAGAAGTCAATAGTAGGAGATTAGAGTAATTGAATCAAGCGTGTGGCAGATTTTACAGTAATGAAGGGTCTGTTACTGTAACCGAGCATAGCTCCATGTGGAGATGATTTAGGGAAGAGGGGAGCAGTGGGTTTCACAAATATCAACAGGGCTGCATGTCTGCATGTGATGATCGGGGAGCTTAAAAAAATGCTACACACACACACACACACAGAACACTAGGGCAGTTACACAGGCAGGGTCACACGTGATGACCAAGGGGGGATTGGAAAGTGATTTATGCTTTCACTCACACATACATATACATACACTGAAGTAGGTACATAAGCAGTATCAAATACACACATAGGGAAATGCATGCAAAAATGTCTGATAAAGTATTAACGGAATGGTTTGCATAACTTTAAACTTCTACACCAGATGTAGTTGATCAGCCAAAACATGTTTGGTGTCCAAATTGTGCTTCTTTAGTTTAGCGCTGGATTTACAAGGCTACAATTGCTAGACATGAATGGTCAGCCAAATCTTTTCCATACATACATCCCCAAAACATCTCTCAACTCACTGAGAGGTCACACAGACTTGTCAGTGTAGTTCAGGATGCAGTACGACTTACTGTGATTTATAAAAAAAAAAAATCAAAACTTCACTGCGTAGTTGAACGCTATGGGTAGCCATTAAAGATAACAGAGCTGCTAGTCTTAAGTCTGACATTGTTTTAAACCTATTAAAGTTGAAATGTCAAACCAGAAATATTATGTTTATAAATAGAAACCACTGAAACTGTGAACACAATCTAGCATCCATATGTCTGCTGAAGGGCAGTCGGACTCTGCAAGTGTTATGTTCACAACAGTTGCCCCCTGCATTCCACTACACACTGAAATTTTGTTCATTTTTATGCTTCACAGTAAGGCCCAATCCCATTTCACCCTTTGCCCCTACCACCTTGCCTATAGCCCTCTGTTTTGCGCGTACACGTCTAGGGTTAGGGTGTCCCAGTTTTTGTTGAGATAAAGGGGTAGGGCGAAGTGTTAGGGCTACATGGCCCTCCAAATGGATTTTTTTTTCAGAGGCTCACTCCAAACCGAGTGTTATGGAAAAAAAAGAAAAACCAGCAAGATGGCTGCGTGAGCGACCAAAGAAACCCACAAATGTAAGTATTATCTCCGTTAAAAAATTACGATAATCATTGTATTATCTTAGTTTAATGTCGTTTTAATGTATTATGGTCGTTTTCCTCCTAACAAGCATTAAAAAACTCGCTAATAGCATGCTAATGTCTTGGTAGCTAGCTAGCTAATTTTCCCATTCCACCTTAAATAGTCCAGCAGTATTGACGCCTGAAGCGCCAGAATGTAACTGCTGCACCATTTAAGGTGGAACGGGAAAATTCGAACAAGAAGCTGGTGAATAACTGACTTCAGCTTCGTATCACCAAAGAATTAGTGGTGGGTGATAATAAATAATTGTCTTATACCCCCTCTTTGAAGGCATATGATGCCCTAAACGTAAAGGTTGCTGAACTTTTCCCTTCTCTCCTATCACTGAAGACGGGCCGGGTCGCCTACAGAGCACCGCTAGTAGGCTGTTAATGAAGCAATGTTTTGTTTTGGGTATTTGAGGGTTGTCCCATTTCGTAGGGCAAGATTATCATCCACTACCCCTTGTAACTCAGTTCCAAGGGGTTAGGGTGACACTCGAAAACAAGGGGTAGGGGTAAAAAGAAGAAATGGGATTGGACCTAAGTCATACTGTGTCCTAAACCACATTGACAAGTCTACACAACCCTAATGAAGACCATAGGTGCAGTCTGAATGGGTTTAGAAAAGTTTTGGGTATGTATTTACTGAAAAAACTAATTTGGGTGACGACTTCTGGGGTTTGTTAGCAATGTTAGTCTCATAGCTCCACTGCACAAGTAAACAAAAAAAATTAACACCAAACATGCCTTGGCTGACCGACTACATCTGGGGTAAGAGCAAAATTTTGTTTATCCTAAACCATGTACCTGACTGTCTTAGGCAAATGCACTGTCTCATTAGCACTGTAATTTACAGAAAAAAGTCAACCTTACCACAATGTTTTACAGCTATTTTACATTTTAATGTTCAGAGTCATACACTTCAAGTTAGGACAATACATGCTTGCTTAATCTGAGCCACAGAGAAGACTAGTAATGTTTCTCTGAGTGCCTCCACACTTTATAAACTTCTTTTCCACAGAATAGATAGCATTTTTACCAACGTATCGAGTGTTTACTGACGCAGGCACACACAGTCCAGAAAAATGACCGACATGGCGAATTCGGACACAGAAACTACGGGAAAATTACATTACCCCACTTCCTCATGTAAAAAGAAACTCATCTAAATAGTGCCAAAAGTTGCCATTCAACTCCCGAGTGTTGCACTCTAATGAAATCAGTGATGGGGAATGGATTGGCCCTCGGGGAGCAGGCTTCAGACATACAGTGGAACAATACTTTGAAGACTACAACATAAATCACCATCTCACCGCTTATGCATTCCTGTGTATTACCTTATTATTTTAAAGCAAAGCTCAGCAAAAGAATGACAGAGGACCTAGTGGCTTACGTATTTGCCTGAGGGTTCACTTGGAGGTAAAGAGCCGGGGCACAGCGTGGGCGAGCTGGCTGGACTGCACAGCTCAGGGAAGGGGTTGGGGATGGCAGGCAGGGAGGACGTTCGATACTGCTGCTCTTCCACCTGCAGCCTCCTGGAGAAAGAGGAAGAGGGACAGAGAGAGTTATAGACTTATATATCATATTGTACAATACGATACATTCATTATTATCATACTCGGACTCATACTCTATAAACTAAACTAATAAAACACTTATTAGCCTTTAATGAGTCTTAATTAAAAGTGTGCTCTGTTGTCTATCCCTTGGTCTTGACTAAAGTATGCAGTAAAACTGCCACGGTGATACCATTACTGGCATAGCAGTGGCGTTCCTGCCTGTGTGCAGGGCTATGGTGACAGCCAATGTTTTATCCTGTAGTGCTCTGAACATCTGCTAAATGTCCCCAATTGTGCGTTTTCATTTAAGTTTGGATTTTGTTGTATGTGAACTGGTACGCCTTGACATCAACTTTGAGCGTTCAGTGCCTATGTTTTATCATCCGTTTTACTCTGCCTCTGTGGCTAACAACAACATCCCATGTTATCCCATGAGTCTACTTATGGTTTGTGCTTATTTTCTAAGATATTTACTGTAGGTTTAGTTTGTTTTGCTGGCTGCCAGCTCTGTTTTGTTGCCATGCTGTCCTTTAGTGTTTGTTTTTAGTTTCTTATTAATTAAATAGTTAATTGCCTGTTTTCAGTTCTATTTTTTGTTTTAACCATTTGTTAATCTGTTGTACAGCCCTTTGATCATATTTGAGGTTTTAAAAGCCTTTTATGAACAAACCTCAACTGACTAGTTTACAGAGTAAATATTTCCAAATGCTTTAGACTACGAGGCTTTCCTCAGTTACTCTGAGTAAGTTTGATAAAGTTGGTCATTGTGTCTTATTCTTCCAGTCTGTTTCAGATGGAACAGAGCTTCACAGTGTATTTGACTTGAATCAGTCAAGAGACTAAGAAGGTGATTACTGACTTGTCCTTCATCTCACCCTAATTATGTCAGCTACCCATTTTGGTAACAAGAAATCAAAATGTTTAGAAAAATCACACAAACTGCACAAATTTACAACTGGATTTGCCTGTAAAAGTACATGAACATGGCAGTATTGAATGTGATACTCCAAGCACTCTTGATAATAATAGTAAGAATTAGAACATGAAGAAATTATACTAGGGTGTATGGTGCAATAAATACATGCAAGATGCAGATCACAAAGAGCCAATGACTTGCTTGCACTAAACATTCTTTTCTCTTGGTACACCACATACAGGGCTTTTTTTGAGGGGCTGTGAGTCAATGTAATACTGTTGGCCTTTAGGTCTGCCCCTGCCCTTGTCCTGATCTCTTCCTGGGCTGGACACAGAAACAAAGCTAGGCAAGAAACTTCATCCCACTTACACTCTCAAAAATAAAGGTGCCAAAATGGGTTCATTGGAGCAACACCATAGAAGCAGGGATGGAAATTAATGTAATTTTGAACAAAACTACAACAAAATACAATCATCCTTAACTGTTCTGGAACAGAAATGTAAATTTGAAGTACCAGTTAATCAGTTATTGTTTTGTGTCGCCCACAAGCTTATTATTTATGTCCTATGACGTCCAGACTTCCAAACACTTTTAGCCAAACATCATGTCTTGCGTGATTTCATTCAGTGTTTCATCTTAGATTTATACACATGTATGTGGTATTTTTGTTCTTTGGCTATAGATTAATTTAGTATTCACAACACGTAATTAAACAAAAGCTCGGAAGAGCCTCTGTGCTTTTGTCTTTGTATCGTGTGTAATAATTTTAAACAAGGAATTTGCTGACTCTATTCACAATGGTAATTTGCATAACAACCTGTGGTAAATTATTATGGACTGGTAATTATGTTTAAGCAATTTACAGATTTAAACACTGTAAACTTCCATAGCTTATCTGTGTTTGAGCATAAGCTTCTCAATACAAGCACAGCTGCTTGGTCTAAAGGCTTTTCAAACCTTTACTCAGCATTTTTTATTTAAAGAACCATTATTGGAAACAAAATGTGTAAAATAAAGTTTAAAGTTTCAAAAATGATCTTTAAGACTGTACTATGCATTTGGCATGCATGAGAAAGAGGGTAGTCAGTCACTGTGCGCCCTTGTTGGGAATAGAGCTGTCACTGTGTTTTGGAGCTCAGCTCTGCCCTGGCACCATGTGGGGTGTTTTTGGAGACTAGTTTTAAAGAGAGAGACCTTTTAAAGGTCAAACACACAAGCACATACACTCACACAGAGTAGACGTGTGTGTCCCATAGAGGTCAGTGCTAAGTTTGAACGCTAACCTCTCACTGAACCCATGATAAAAAAGGAACTCCCCCAGCTCATTACCCTTCCTTTAAAACGCAAGCCCGCTCTAATCCACTGCTCCATACACACACGCTTTGTTTTTCTATAATGTTAAGGCACATGATCATCTACGCAAGTCCTAATACAAATACCTATATTATAATAATAATTACAATAATAAGAATAATAATACAGCCAGGGACACTTTGGGACATCAAATAAGTTGGGACAAAATGTAAATTAAAACAGAATGCAATGATGTGCAAATCGTTTAAAAGCAAAATTTAATTGAAAATAGTACAAAGACAACATCCAATGTTGAAACTGAAAGTTTATTGAAAGATATTTGCCCATTTTGAATTTGCTAACAGCAACACTATTCATAAAAGTTGTTGCATTACTGCTTTTTTTAAGCAACACTTTGTAAGCGTTTGTGAACGGAGGAGACCATTTGCTGTAGTTTTGAAAGTAAAATGTTTCTCATTTATGCTTGAAGATCACGGCCATCCAATATTGGTTTTCAGCCCTATCCCTTACATAGAAAGATTATTCTGGATTCTCTGAATTTTTATTATGTAACATAGATGATAAATTGTCTTTGCTATTTTACATTGAGAAAGGTTATTCTTAAATTGTTTTTCACAGGAGTGGTGAACCCCTCCCCATCCTTACTTCTGAAAGCTTCAGCCTCTCTGGGACGCTTGTTGTATACCCATTCATGTTACTGACCTGTTCACAATTAACCTAATTAGCTGTGAGATGTTCCAGATGTTTTTTTAAGCATTACTTAACATTACCAGTGTTTTGTTGCCCCTGTCTCAACTTTTAAAGTGTTGCTGGCATCAAATTCAAAACAGCATATAAAAAAAACAATAACATTTCTCAGTTTCAACATTTGATATGTTGTCTTTGTACTATTTTCAAGTAAATATCGGGTATAAATGACTTGCATATCATTGCATTCTGTTTTTATTTACATTTTGTCCCAACTCTTTCAGAAACGAGCAATTAATATTCATGAGACACTACTATTATCTATGTAATAACTTAAAAGTGAGATGTCCTATATACATTATTTGAGACCATCACTTTGGTTACTTAAGTTCATTTAATTAATTAATTTAATTGTCAGGAAAAAACACAAAACACACTTAACAGAAACTTAAACAGAAGCCTCAACAACTACTTTCAAATTTTACACCTTCCATTCTTTTCAGGAGACCTGCTTTCAGTTTTTCAAAGAAATCTGCAGGGATATTTTTAAAATCTCCAAAGTTCAGTCTTAGAAGTTGGTTGCATTTTCTGTCTCTCATGATCCAAGCAGTACCAATAACAAATTTCCACACCTTACTCCATATCCAGTTTCTGTTTAGTGCAAGTTTTCTTTTTTGTTTTTGTCCATTTCCTTTCCTCAGTAATGGCTTTTTGACAGCTACAGACTCTTTGGTTGGCTTCTTACAGTGGAAGGATGGATAGAAACACCTGTGGATTTGTTCAGATTTGAAGCAAGAAGCAAGATTTGAAGCAAGTGGAGACTGATTTTCTTCTATCTCTAAAAGTATTGTTTATCTGATGGTGACAGTTTTGGTGGTCTAAAGGGTCTTGACCAAAACGTTGTTAGGATCCCATTTTGTCAGTATCTTGTCTCTGTATCAGTCTGTGTCTGACATTATATATGTGTAATAGCCTACATGTAATACATATGTTCCACATGTTTTACATGCAATTACCTATTATAAATTTGAAACATTTAAAATTATTTTTTCACCTAAATCTTAACTCTCTCAGTAACCAAGTAACCAATGACCAGTAACCAATTTTTTAAATGACACATGTAGCTTCAGTGAAAGCACTTTAGTTATCTACAGTGTCTGTATATGAGACCGTATTCAATTTCAGAAAAATGTAATTTATAATTATAATTATAAAAATACATAAATTATAAAATTATTATAAAATTATAAAAACAGGAATTATTTTTCCATGTTTTGGAAAAAGCCAAGAGGCATGAAATTTTTAGATGTTGTGATAGTTAAGCGCAGTTCATCTCCTCTTAAGGTCTAGCATATGCTCTGTGTCCGTGTGTTTATGCATGTTACCTGACGGCTAAGATGTGCATGGGCTGGGAGCGGCGCAGTTTCTGGTGCAGGGAGGTGGGCTGGCCATGCGCGTGGCTGTGCGTGTGGCCGTGTGAGTGTGTTTGCTCGCTGGGCCGATGAGACTGGCCATTGTGCAGCAGGGGAACAGCCTCGGCTTGCACACTGTAGGTGGAGCAAAGACTCTCAAAGGAAGAGTTCATATCATTTACCAGCGCCTCCAGATCCACATCATCCTCTGTGAGAGAGAGAGAGAGAGAGAGAGAGAGAGACAGAGAGAGAGACAGAGAGAGGAGAGAGAGAGAGAGAGAGAGAGACAGAGAGAGAGACACATTCATAGATACATTATACAAAAGGACTATAAATCTCTGACTTCACAATAATTTTTACTTAATGACGATGATGATTATTTAAGAAACAATTCAATGCATCATGACTATGGCAGCATGTTCCAGACTATTTTAATATTCAAATGTAAATTTGAAAATGCTGTGTTTTTGCAATTGCATTTCCCATGCGAGTGTGCATTATTTAAGACATAATCCAAATTCAAATGCAAATATCTTGGTAAAATCTTGAAATAAGATGATTTTAGAAAACCCAGCCCAGGTCGTTAACAACCGCTGACTGAATGTAATATGTTTCAAGGATGGACAGCATTAAAGCAGGTAGGTGTTTCTCCGACAGTCCTGTTAATGTCACCAACACTGGTGCTTGTTACCGCCACAAGCTCTCTTATTCGATTAAAAATCCACACAAAACAACAGCTCTTTAATAACTGATGACTTTTTCAAACAGGTGTGTTAAAGCAGGAAAAGCACTAAAATGTGCTAAGCAGTGTTAATCCAAGACCTCTGACAGTCCTCAGAGCCTGTTACGTCACAAACACTGGTGCTTGTGCCAGCCATGTCACTTAGCAACAGTATGCCAGTATTACCAAAGTTCGAACTTTTTCGTCACTTCCTAATCAAACACACTCTTGCACTAAAAAGTCCCTCCCACCACCCCACCCACAGTACTTGACTGACAAAGTATTTGACTGAGTACCTCACTGACATTGAAAATGCAGTTGCAAACACTGTTGCTAATACTTTTTTTTCTTTTTGGCAGAGCTGGAGAGCGACAATGAGGAAATGCAACTGCAAATGGACAACTGTCATTCCATTTTTAATTAGTCACTCAGACCATTAAGACAATAGAAATTAAATGCCAAAACCACTTTGCTTTGCCATATTAACTTTTTCCAGTCTTTACACACAGAAATGCAATTGCACATTTCGCATTTGAATTTAAATTGTTTAAATTTGAAAGTAAATTGTGCATTTCTGTGTATAATTGCTGGTAAAAGGTAATATGGAAAAGCCAAGTCCTTTTGACATGTCATTTTCATTGTCTTAGAGGTCTGACTCTGACATTTTAAAAACAGAATAACAATCCCTGATTTGTAATTGCATTTCATTACTACACTCTAGCTCTGGCAAAATAAAATGTATCTGCAACCCTGTTTGCAACTGTATGTTCACATTCTTGCTTCATATTGCTGAGAAAAAATTGTACCATACCAGAAAAAAATGACAAGATGTGATAATTCAACATAATTAAACAAATATGAAACATTAACCCTCTTAAAGTGAGCAACAATAGTTATGACAGTCCAGCTGCAGCAGCTGTACTAAGAAAGGGCAGCATTGTTTATATCATTCTACCCTTGACATGGGGATTTTTAATTTAACACAGGGCAGACTGACCTCTATTTGGAATGGATTATATTAGAAAAGCCCAATCTATGTTTAGTATCAATTGTAAGATTTTAAGACTGCATTTCAACCTCCTACCACTAGAGGTAGCACAAGGATTAACTTATAGCAATATTACTATTTTCAAGTGCACAGCACATTTCCTTAGTAAGATAAGGTACCTGTTCCTGGTTGTGGAGATTTACCACCCTGGCGGGTTCAGATCCAACACACCTGGCTGTATTATTCAGATGCTCTTGAAGGCCTTTATTAGCTGGATCAAGTGTGTTCGATTAGGGTTGCGGCTAAGCGCTGCAAGGTGGTAGATCACTAAGACCAGTTTAGGCCACCCCTGCTATAAGGTATGTACACATATGCACATATACACTTAATAACTAAATGCAGAGCAAATACTAGAACTGACCATGAACCACGCAGAGCATTAATAATCATTTAACTAAAATCTTCAGTCACTTGAATTGACAGACCTACGTAACAATGAGGATTTCTCACACAGCAGGCCTTTATCAAGATTCACTAAGCGCTGTATGAAAAACCATCTAGCTCTTTAGATACTGGTTCACAGAATCATAGGACTTACATCAATAAATGCATAAACAGATGGAGACGGCCGCACTGCAGTTAAGACACCAAGCAAAGGGGAATCAATTAAAGCGAGTGGTAAAATGTACGTTAAAAGAATCAAAACCCCTTTATTCTTAAAACAAATGTACTAACAACTCAGGCTATGAGTCACTATGTTTACTGATATTCTGACATGATGCCTAATAGAGCACAACATTTGACCCACTGTGACAGTGCAGGTAACCTCATCACAGGAATCAGCACTCCTCTCAGTGGGATGCATGTTCTCGCTTGATATAGCTGTTGATCAATTTAGATTGTTAGCTGGACTGTCCAGAGGTCTGTCAGTCCACAGCACCTTTAAACGCTTCTGCTCATTTTGCCTGAGACAAGCAGAGGTGCATTAAGAGAAAGAGGATAATGGGAATTGATAATGTGAGTATTTTGGGTACACCAGGCCTTAAAAGGTTAATGCTGTGCTCTCGTCCCTGTGAGTGACCAGGCACAGACCTCTTCCTGAAAATGTGTCAGCTAGCTACATCACTGCTGACTAATCCTGCAGTATTGATAGAGCCATGTAAGCCCCTTCTCTGTTTATAGATCCTAGAGAGTTCACACACACACACACACACACACACACACACACACACACACACACACACACACACACACACACACACACAGCAGAGCCACAACAAATTTAATAAAAACTTGATAAATTCGTTATATATTTATACAGAATACCTGCTGGTGAGCCGGTCACAGCAGAACATAACTTAACAAAACTGCATCAGGCATTAAGACTAATACAGCTTAATTTGACACATATTCGCATATAAATCATCTTTTTAGTGGTGTAAAAAACTAATATTAAATCTAAAACATGATCACTGCCTCACTCACTGGTAATGTGGCTCTAAAGATGCTGGTTTCTTTGCTCTCCGGCGCCACTCAACACCGCCACATCCAAACAGCCTCAGCAACCTGATCAGGGTTGCTGGATTAGGCAGGATCCCCCGAACAATGGTAGTTGTGAAAATAATTGTGTATAAGTGATGCTTATGCATTATCTTAGTTTTTCAAGTTTTATAACAACAACAACAACAACAACAACATTTTTATTTAATAATTTAACACATCTTGAGTTTTGTTTACTCTTATAGAACAGTGGTCTCCAACCCTGATCTTCCAACCACAATTTGCCCTGCTCCAGCTAATCAACCACGTCCAAAGTCCCTGACTGGCTGGATCAGATATATTAGAGTTCAGTAAGAGTGGGGCAGCTTTTTGGATACAGATTGAAGACTAATGTAATGAAATATTCAAACATTCAAGATAAAATTAGACAGAATATTCACAAATGAACCATATGTACAACAACACTGTTTTGCAAATTTTGGTGCCTGATGAAAATCTGCCACATTTGCTTTGTACTGCTCTGCATACTTAAGAGCTAATTAATTATACCAGCTAGGGCTGGGTTTTGTCAGTAACTTCATTATAAGACACGCATCACATTACAAGTGTGACAATACAATATGATACAATGACAACACACATTTTTGGTTAACGTTTAACTTACAGTACAGTACTAAAGTACAGACCTTACAGTAATGATGAATAAATAAATTATTAATAAGTTGTGGGAAGGTTAAAATACAAGAATATGGGCACATATGCATGTGTGAGAGTCACAAAACAGCTCTACAAAGACATACCTGAAATGCTCAGTTAAGTGCTAATCACAGCTGCTACAAACAAATAACTCACTACAACTGCTAACTGAACCATGTCTGTGAATGTGAAACTAATTTGAGTACACACTGAACAAGGATCATACATACCTTAAAAACCATTAAGAAAGGATACTCAATTCATTCACACGAACAACAGCAGACACTCAACTAATGAATAAACTTCACTCTGTGCTGGTTTCTCCTGAAGGCACATGCAGACAAGACCAGAGTGGAACAGCTTTCTCCCCTCACACAGCTTTTTATAGAAATAATAATAAATAAAGAGTAACCTCTGCTGGTTTCAATGCGCACCCCCTCAAAAAACAGACATTTCACTAGCAGGGCACTGGCAGGCGCTTTGGGGACATAAACGGCTTTATATCTGCCCATCAAACATGCAGAGGTCTCAGCAGGACAGACAGGCTTGTATTGCACGCATAAATTAACCTCCATTGAAATATCAAACCCACGCTCCACAGGGGCAGACAGCAATGCTTAGTAGGCTCTGACTTGGCAGTAACGGCAGAGGCCTCTAGGGAGGACTTCTACTGCATCAGAGAGGCAAGGTTGGAGATAGGGACATGTGGATTCTGATTTTAGGAACTATTTCTGATATTAGAGTATCTGTACTCCATTTAATGAACAGATGTTCCACAGAACAGTTATATACAAGGAAGAAGCAAAAAGTTTCATCTGCTGATAATGTATTGTAGTTTTTATTCATGCAGACAAATTTAGCATTATCAGATCTCAAAGTCATGGGTATGGGTTTCAATTTCATGTCCATGTACACCTTTCACAAACGTGTTCTTGGTGATCTGATCACGTTTGGGTTTCACTTAAACATAGGAAAGCTACGTGTAAGCATCCTCAGGACACGTTGTGAGTGGATTATGATCAGATGACAAACCACCATCAGAAGAGGTCAGAGATGGATCTTGACCATGTTTAATGCAAATGTAAACAATGTGTTTTTTGATATCCATATATACAATTACATGAGGGCAAATGTGTCTCCCCAGAGCTGACTAGCAGGTGAGAGAATAAACAAAAGACAAAGGATAGAGGATACACGAGGCTGGAGTTATCTCCAAACCAAGAATTATTGTCATTGACTCATCGACTCCTCATCCATCCTCAAGCATCTCGGTGTAGGCGTGGACCGCTGAGGATTGCAGCTC